GAAACGATGTTTACATAATGTTGAAAATCATTTACATCATTCTCCCCATAATATCATAGCATGGAGTCAAAAACGATTTGGATGGTCGAGAGTTTTGCTCACTTATTGACATGTTTTTGAGTAAAAAGACTTAATTGTCCTCCGCAGGACAGCATACCTTATGCCATGTCATTGTTTTTTTTATTGTTATAATTTTTTCCTTTATGACCAAAATATATTGCTATTAGGAGAAGATCATCATCATCATCATCATCATCATCATCATCATCATCATCATCATCATCATCATCATCATCATCATCATCATCATCATCATCACCAACAACAACAACATCATCATTCATAGTATAATAATAGTTTGTATATCATGAACTATGATGACCTGTAGAATCCAAGGATTAAGAGAAGCAATATAATTTGCAAGCCGCCCCATAGTAAAAAGAATAAAGTAAAGAAATGATAGAAAACAAAAAAGAACATAAAAAAACAAAAAACCCCAAAAATTGAAAAAAAACAACAAACTAAAAAAACAACCCACCACAGGTTGCCACAGATAGCCACGCCTTTTCTGTTGCTAAAGTGGTGTGCTTATCTGCATAAAAACTATATGATTAGTTGGTTAAACCTTTTTATTTGCCTCGCTCGTGACCAGCTAGTGCAATTATTTTTTTCAGAAGAATTTTCAACAAACAGAGCACTTGTGGTCTGTAGGGTTAGTGTCATTTCTATTTTCATCATATTTCGATTAGACAGAAGGCATCCAAGCTGTAGATCGTTGTGAGTTTGTATGTGCGTATGCGCATATGTACGTATGTGTGTATGTATGTGTGTGTGGTGCGTGTGTGAGTGAATATGTGTTTGCATGAGTATGTAACACTATGTACCTTTAAAATTGATTTGTAAATCCATAATATGTATCATGTTAAGCGCATAGAGCATTGTATAAGTGGATATGCGCTATATAAATGCAATCCATTATTTATTATTATTATTACTGTCAGAATTTAGCCGTTTTGAATTTTTTCCTTCTCTGGCTACCGCTGTTTTACAGACTATTTTTTTGCAAAAGCTTTACTGCCACATGACATGCCTTTATGCCACTGTAACCGGTCAAGATAAAAGGTTTCCTTCTAATCCACACAAATGGAGCAATCTTTCAAAGAAATCTTCGGGATGTCTTTAATACTTTTTTGGGGAAGGCAATGTTTTGCCTTCCACATGCCAGTTCTGAGTTCTAAAAAAACCCGACAACTTTGGGCAGCCGTGTGCTTGGCCTTCGCATGAATTAGAGCTCCGCCCTTCTCAGCTCGATTTCTTTTGCAGGTGGTAGAAAATACTACAGCTTTCTCCCTCTAAACTACTTCAGTGTCTGAGACCTTACTCCTTCAGTAATCCATCAGTATTCTTCTCAGACATGAAAGATGAAACCTGTTGAGTGTGTTGCATGGGTTTTGTACACGGTTCAGTACTGAGCTCCATGTGAAATGGTTAGTTATATGACTGCGCTATAAACATTTCGTTTTGGCTCTTTACGTATACATGTCGATTTCTCAACTTACCAAATGCCGACCTAGTTTTGTTTTTTCTCATGGAAGCAGCTATTGCATCAACCCTGGCATTATTAAAAAGGGCATTACTAAGATCAGTAAGTATCACCACTGCCTTAAGCTGGTTATCGTGCACTTTGATGACTGGGGGAGCGATGCTTCTTGAGGTTTGAGCAAGTTCAAACTTTTTTGTACTGATGATGACCCCAAAGCTACTATACACCTTTGAGAAAAACGACATACACTATCGCTTGCTGGTCTCGTCATGTGGTAACATGAACAGTCATCAGCAAACAGGAGGTCACATACTAGACCCTTTCGAATTTTTTGGCCTTCCACTTTGACAGGAATCGTAGTCAAGCTCACTCACATCATTTCTGGACCTAACGGTCATGGCTATTGGAGGAGATCTGAGAGCCTCCAGCAACATTACAGAGAGTACACTTCTGAAAAGAATTAGAGTTTGTATACAGCCTTGCTTCATGCCATTCGTGATAAGGAAAGGCTCCGACAGTTTTCCGGGGATGTTGACCTAGCCTGCATGCCACCATGGAATTGTTCCACAAATTAATGAACTTCGGTGAGCATCCGAATGCTGCCATTATGTTCCAGAGGTTTTCAGGGCACACGTGTCAAATGCCTTAGTGAGATCAACAAATACTTTGCCTAGATCCATGTTTTATTCACTGTATTTTTCTTGCTTATGCCGAGTAGGAAATACCATATCCACTATGTCCCCCTCTCTCTCTGCAATAGCCATTATATTGACTTTCTAGCAGTGACGTATTTGCAGGGAGGCGGCGGTTCAGAGGAATACTGACACGGACCTTGCCAGCAGTGCTGATGAGGGAATTGATTCGAGGGCTGCAACAGCATTGACGATCACCTTTGTTTTTGTACATATGCCCAGTTATTTGGTCATTGAAAAGCTGAAGTAAAAGGCCATCGTCAAACATAATAATTCTGAATAGCTAAGCTAACTTCTAAATGGGTGAATCACCACTTCGGGCATATATTTTAATGGGATTGAATCGTACCCTGGAGATCTGTTGTTCAGCTGCTTTTGTCACCTCAAAAGTTGGGAGATCATCAAACTTGAAGTTGATGGGTTTCTACGAAAGTCGTGCGATTGTCTAAAAGGTTATGCTTGAAGGCTTGTTCACAGCGGAACGAAAGCGTTTTGCCCAATTGTCAAAAATTGTCTTTGGGTCTTGTATTCATGGTGTAATGTCCGAAGAGGAGGGGTATATATTGCTTGAGACTCATAGAATTTCCGGGCATTCTTGATATCAGCGTGCATTTGAATCTTACTTCCTCTTAGAACTTAGAATTCTCCATTTCAAGCAACTCGCTACAGATACACAATGGCTTTCTTTTTCCAAAAGTGTTGTCTTTATCTGATTATACATATTACAGTCAGTTGGTTAAACCTTCTCGTGATGTTCTTGAGGTATTCATCAAGTGGCATCTTACACTTTAGTTTCGTTCTGTTTCTTTCCTTCATGGTCATTAATTGCAAAACGAACGTCAAAGTCATCGTTCTGAAATGGGCAATGCTGCAAAAATTATGACTTTGGTTCTTATGGGATACCTTTGGCGAATTATAACATCACGTCTGTCATTAATGCGTGCAATTATGTGTGCAGCCGACATCACTTAACAGTTCCTAATCTATCTATACTATGGGAAGCCAAAACTTAACAAAGAGAGTGAAAGGAAGGGGGGCGGTAGCAAATCAATAAACCTGGGCCCAAAACGAATACACAATTGGAGTAAGTGAGTATATGGAGCCATTTTGTCTCGTTGAAAAGGCCAGAATATAGAAGATTGTACTACAACTGTGAGAAAGAGTTTTGTAAAGCTTGAAATTTTTTGAAAACTTGTGCTTGCCCATGAAGCTGTGTGTTGCTAATGGGTTTTGTCTGTGTATGAATGCAACAGTGTGTGAATATCTGTGGCAATGAGGAGATACGTGTTTGTGATTTTTCTCGATATAGCCAAAATGCTATGTGTTTGAATGAGATGCGTTAGAAATACACGTAAGAGAGAGAGAGAGTGTGTGTGTGTGTGTGTGTGTGTGTGTGTGTGTGTGTGTGTGTGTGTGTGTGTGTATGTGTGTTTATGTGTTCGTATTTGTGTGTCTGTAAATATGTGTCGGCGTGTTTGTTTGTTTGTTCGTTCGTTCGTTTGTTTGTGTATGTGAGTGCTCATCTACAGGGGCGAAGGCAGACTTGTTTGACAGGGTAATCAAAGTGAGAAGGGACCAGATAGGGCCTGGAGATATCACACTCACACAAGTCTCAAGAATCTTACTGGACGCGGCAACTCTGAGTTGTGTATAAACACAAGTCCTGAATTCATGTTGTATAACATATTCAACCGCTAAAACAATGGGGAAAGTATTTCAATAAATATTTATTCTAGCTATCCTTAAATTTAACTTTAGATTTTAATACACGAACACCAAGGAAAGAAGCAGAGATGTCAGTACTACATTGGCATGTTGTATCAGACAGTCTAAACACTTTGGTAGAGCATGCCAATTATTAATTTTTTATTTCACATTTGGCTGTTTTTGTAGCTTTTCGCGGCCAGGAGCCGGTGTCATAATCGAGGTCACGATCTGGTTATAGGAGAACGTTAAAAAGTCGAGGAAAAAAAACAAGCACTCGCAGTAGTCAAGATATTAGTAGGAGTTAGTTCCCCTCACATCTGTGAGGTAGACTCGACCAGTGTAATAGTTAGTTTAAATTATCAGCAGGTGTGGCTGCTTATAATTGTGGCTCGAAAGGGGTGAACAGGGTATATGTGGCAATGAAACAGTTTGACTGCTATGCACATGTTCCCTTCAACTCTATTGTTAGACTCTTCCACCCTCACTTTAAGCTTACTTAATCAAAGCTTGTGACTGCTTATGGAGTGGCCCGATAGGGGCGGGCAGGCTATTTCTGTGGCATAGTCTATTGTTCATTGTTGATTATGAACGTCTTTATACATTTAATTTATGAGGTTTACATCTATAGGTGAATTTGACTGCGACAATGTTTCAAAATTAGGAAGGGAAGCAGTGATTATTTGACTATATAGACGCTTCGCCACTGCTCATCTATCTTTTCGTTACGAGCTTCTCCTTGTTGTGACATATATATATATATTTATGTATAAACTCTTAACTTTTGCCTTAATAAACAGGTTATTACACTCTCCCCGTCACAATATGTACGTCTATGATCTTATACAAATCGTTTCACCGTGCTTGCACAAGACGTTAATCCAACCTTTAATATGAACCCCCCACCCCCCCCCCATTCCATCCACTATCTCCCTCTTTCTTTCAAGATGTAACATTCTGCGTTCGCCCAGACAGGCAGAATCGAAAGAGCAAGCCCCATTACAATAATATGTCGAAGAGTCTTCAAAAATATACAATATACGATTATTTCCTCCTGCCAGTGGCGCTGGGAGTCCAGGTCTGTCAGAGATGGGAACAATACGACCAACTTTGACCCCGGGAGAGATTCCCCGAAACCAGAGGTCCGAGAGGTCACGCTTAGCAGGTGGGATCATGTGATCGTTGTTGTCATGTCTCTTAACGTCATACATGTACCGTCTTACAGTGCTCGCACACGTCCAGGGCCTACCGATAATAACAAAAATAGCGATAATGATCTTATATTCATGATAATAATGCTAAAATGATGATGATGATATTAATAATAACACTGGTCTACATATTTTCAAAAAAAGTTTCTGCTTCGGAGATCAAACATTGCTTTGTATTTAGGTTTTGGGGTCGCTGGACACGAACACGTGAGTGATACCTGACGTTTAAGGTCTAGTTTTCAAGATATTCAAGTTTTTATACTTTAAAAATAGTAAAAAGGACTACAAATTCGAGTATCTTCGTACACATTTGATTTGTTGTTTTTTGACTCGCCACTTTTATTCAAATTCTCATCTATTTCTTGAAACTAACGAACAATAATCTGCTAACATAGTATCTCTCCTTTTGCTCTGCTGTCGATTTCCATAGCTCCAATATCTTGGTGAAAACGTTCTCCATTTTTATTAATCACAGCACCACATTTTAAAGACAGTGTACGTCCTTACATGCAACTGGGTTGCCCTTCATTCTAAAAATTTTAATGGCCGAAAATCAGCCTCTCGATTTCTAAAGATGCTCTCTCAGACAGTCGGCAAGCACGTCCATTGCTGAAACCTTGAACCCAACAATTCAGCTTTGCGTTTGGGCAGCTCTGTGAGAAAGTCGTTCAGTCCATTTTGTGGGATTATAATATGGAGTATTCTTGCTAGAAAATTTCTGTGAAAATCAAGTTCATTTAATGTCTTCTTCTGTCTGCTCTTCGGGGATATCCTCTTCCACGACCTTCAATTCATTAGTTGTCTCTGGCTCAACAGGAATGGGTAAACCTTCACTGTATGATACTTGGCATCGGGCATATGGAATGTCGTCATGATCAACTTTACTTTTTCGGTTTCCCTTTGTATTTTTCTGTCATTTTGCATAATACAAAAGTGGCAGTTATCTGAATGGTTGCTTGGTTCTCGCCATATTACTAGCACTGCAAGGGGCATCATGGTATTCTTTGCCTTGTGCAACCACAGGCGATGGTTTGTGCCACATGTTTCGCAGCATGTGTGAGGAACCTAGCTAATTCTGCTTGTGGGTGAAACTAATAAATTTGTCACAATGAATCAACCGACGAAAATGTATTATGCTGCTTAAAAAAATTGATGTCATTTTCGAACAATTGCATCATACAACTACAGTTTAATTGCAGCCTAAAATTACCAATCCTAAGCACCTTTTTTCTACTCTTTAAAATAAGGAAAATTGACGACCTCAAGCTATGTCTAAAAAAACTAGACCTAAACATAAAAACGAGGATCAAATTTCGAATTCAGCCCCCCTCAATGAGTAAAATTCAACTGGTTTTAAGCGGAAAGCAAATTCGTGTTAGACCCATGTAATAATAATGACTATAATATGATAATAACAACAACAATAATATGAATAATATAATAGTAAGAAACAAAATTACGATGACAATAATAATGATAATAATAATAACAGTAATAATGATAATACTAATGATATTAATAACAATACAGCAGCAGCAGTAGTAGTAGTAGTAGTTGTAGTAGTAGTAGTAGTAGTAGTAGTAGTAGTAGTAGTAGTAGTAGTAGTAGTAGCAGTAGTAGTAGTAGTAGTAGTAGTAGTAGTAGTACTAGTGTTGAAGATCACTTCTATATAGCTCATAAATAGAAAATTACAATTTAAATTGCAAAGAAATAACAATTCGAAAGCTAACGCAAGTATTTGTTTCATGTACACTGGCCCTTTCAAAGTTGATTTTTAAAATACATACCCCCGTAATCTGACAAAACAGCACACACATATAAACACAATCACTTTGGAAGAAGAATCAAATCAGTAAGATAATGTGGTTTTAAACTACTTTAAAATGCAGTCAAAGTAACCATAACGATGAGAATGACACTGGTTCGAATCCCAGATGAGGAGTTCGGAAACACGGGTTGTTTGGGCAGCTTTCAAATCTTCTTAGTCCAGTTGTATTGTAGATTTGCAGGAAAAGTACATTTTAATTACGTTTACAATCTTTCTGTGTTTGTCAGTGAAAGTTGTGGTTACTGTATGCTGTTTGTCTGAAAGAGACAAAAACAAACAAACCAAACAAAAATGGCTAACCCCCAAACAACAAAACAAAACAAAACGAAATATGTTCTTTAAAAATCCACCCAAAAACTAAAACAATTATAAATAAGAGAAATCTAACCTCTTGACCATTCTGAAAGTATTCTTTTTCTAATGTAGCTAAACAAAAGTCCTAGTCAAAGTGTGAAGATGTACACAGGCCTGTTTTTCAGTGAGCGTGCGGACAGCACTGATGGCTTCATCCTGGTGTACAGTATGAAGGACACTGGTTCGAATGACCGCCGGGAGTGTTCTTGAACTTTGTTGGTCTTTTGGGGAGTTTTTTTTGGCTCTCCGCTACCTTTCAGCGGTCCTACCGGCATATAATGGCAGAATTCAGAAGCCCTCCTTTAATTATTTATAACTTCACAGCTATGCAATGGGCATGGAAGAGGTAAAAATCTAGCTATTCCCCCATCCGGTTGTTAAAATGAGTTAACGTATTTCGCCGTGGCGTCACGGCGACCCGTACGTGACCCCACAAGAGTAGATTCCCGTATGTGAGTAGGAGTACGTTCCAAATGGAGGGCTCAAGCAGACTTTTACCGTGAAATACCATATGTATCTTAAAAATATACTATTATACAGTGGCATACCGTTGTTTCTTCCTCACAGACCAGGCAGTGGTTTGAAGATCAGTAAGGTGGAGACTCTGCCCCGTCGACAGAAAAGAACGGTGTATACTGGTCCGGATGTCGTCTGGCCCTTCGATATACCTTACGTGTACGATCGCACAGCAGGATGTGGGTCGCTTGAGTTTGGTTTTCTTTGGTGTCTTCTGTCGATGTTTACCATTATCTTACTCTCTCTCTCTCTCTCTCTCTCTCTCTCTCTCTCTCTCTCTCTCTCTCTCTCTCTCTCTCTCTCTCTCTCCTCATTCATTCATCCATTTATTCGTTTTCATTCCGGGGTAGTTTTTTTTTAAAAACATTCTTTTTCTTCTTTGGCTGTCCATCGCTATCGATAATGATTGAAACGGTATACGTGGTTCAGCTTTGTATGGGGAGTAGACATAGGGATAGTAGATTGATTGCCCAAACTTCCCTCCCTTCTGATCTTGACTTGCTCAATATGGCCAACCAACCCAGATATCATAATCAATGGCATTAGCTAAGACACATGCTGTTATTACTTCTAAAATACCACCATGGAGTCTAGAAGGATCCAATCTCACATCAAAATATTTCCCAGTGGACGAGTTGGACATCCAACGCGCCATGAACCTGATCGAGGACAGACTGTGTGTCAAGTTCCACGACGAGACTGACCGCTATAACCCCCATGACCCCCACTGGTTCACCAGATACGGGAACTACAAAAAGGATGTCTACATGAAGCTGGAGAAAGGTGACGGGTAGGTTGACCTCCTTGTACTGAATAAATATAAATTTAAAGGGGGTTTCGGACCTTTGACCTGTTTCTTCTGAAATCAGAATCTTAAAGTTATTGGTGAGAAGGATGTCACCTGAAGCCTGAGGAATGGAGATGATTATTTGAAGTGAGAAAGTTGCCTTTTTGTTAATTTTCCTCCTATATTATTCCTAGAATATATAATTTTGTAGCTGGAGAAAGGTGACTCATTATGATGATAATACGACGGCCCTTCCCTCCGTCCCCCTCTCCCCCTCCCCTCTCTGTCCCATCATACAAACATCATGACGCCCTCCCCCCCAACTTCACTTCTTGCTCAATCAGATGTAACGCCCCCATCGGCATAGGGGGCACAGAGCCAAATTACAGAAGTGTCAAGGCGTGCCACGGATGGGTGAGTGGGCTTGACTTTTTCATTTACTTGAAAACATCTTAAATGTTTAATTGCAACAATATCAGAAGGAATAATCTTCTCTTTAGCTTCAGTAGTTAACCCAATAAACTTTCGGTTTGCAGTTATTTCTGTATCAAATCATCTTGGGTAAACTTTTTATGCCCCTGTCAACAAAGTTGAATCTTTTAGGAGGTGGACTGTTTGGAGCCTCAGTATCTTAGCCTAGCTGGTAAGCTTTAAAAACAAAACTCAAAGAGACAGACGGGGACACTTCGTACTGCACCTTCCCTATTTCTTATCGAACTCTCATAACTATGTCCTTTCACGTGTAAAACAAAAAAGAATATCTCTACACCACTAATATAGTACTGAGAGTGACAGGCTAGTACATTTTATTAGAAGTAAGAACACTTACGATATTCTTGTGTTGTCACCTACAATCACCCTGAAGAATGAAACATTTCGTGAGAAACAGATTTATATAACAGCAACGTTAGAAGAAGCCAAGGAAGCATATCACTTGAAAGGTAGCACTATCTTACGACGTATGGGATAAGGAAGAATTGACAGATGACGGGGAGAAGAAAAAGATTAGAGACGATGGGTGTCGTATGTGATGTTTGGAAGAAAAGAGGAACAAGAAAAATGGCATCTCTCGTGTGTACGTGTGTGTGTGCGTGTGTGCGTGCGTGCGTGTGTGTGTGTGTGTGTGTGTGTGTGTGTGTGTGTGTGTGTGTGTGTGTGTGCGTGCGCGTGCGTGTGTCTCACGCGCGCGCGTTTGTGTTAGTGTGTATGTGTGTGTGTATGTGTGTGTGTGTGTGTGTGTGTGTGTTTGTGTGTATGAGAGTGTGTGTTTGTGTGTTAGTGTGTGTGATTAGTGTGATAATATGAGTCAGCTGACAAGATATACGGATAGGAAATCCGGGTCTAAAAATGATGATGATGATGATGATGATGATGATGATGATGATGATGATGATGATGATGATGACGATGGTCTGTCCTCAGGCTCTCAACTTACACGAGCTGTTTCATGCTGTGGGTGCGGGCCACACTCAGAACTTTCCGAGGGCTAGGGAGTATATGACAGTCAACCCTGACAATATCTTACCAGGTATGGAGGTCTTACGAATTCTCGTTCTTGTTCTTGTTCTTGTTCTTATGTTATTCTTGTTCTTGTTGTTCTTGTTCTTGTCCTTGTTCAGATTCTTTCTATTCTTGTTCTTGTTGTTGTTGTTCTTGTTCTTCTTGTTTTTCTTGTTCTTGTCCTTGTTCTGATTCTTTCTATTCTTGTTCTTGTTGTTGTTGTTCTTGTTCTTCTTGTTCTTCTTGTTCTTCTTGTTCTTCTTGTTCTTGTTCTTGTTCTTGTTCGTGTTCTTGTTCTTGTTCTTGTTCTTGTTCTTGTTCTTGTTCTTTTTCTTCTTCTTCTTCTTCAGTCCACTGATTGTATTGTCTACTAAAATCCTAAATCATTTGAAATTAATGATTCCATTTTATAACAATTCTACACTCTACACCCCCCATATTAAAGTGTCTCAGCAACAACGGACACAAACAATGCAGATGAAATTTTTAAAAAGCAGAAAAAACCCAGTAAATTGTAAAATTCAAATTGTCGAGACGATGTATAGCAATGTCTTCTTAGATATTTTAATGATAACGAACACATTTCCAGCAGGAAGCACTCAAGTTTTGCCAGGTACAATAAAAACCCCAGTCCGCTTCAAAAACAGAGAGGCGAAAGAATCCTTTGTCCACTCTTTTGCCAGATTACGAAGAACATTATCTAAGACACTGTGTGTCCACCCAGTTTTTAAATATTACAATTGAAAAACGTTTACCATTTCTCTACTACATTTTTTGAATGAACTGAAAAGTGACGTTCGTGTCGTGTCGTTATTAACGTTATTGTTAATATCCACCCCATCTTCATCATCATCGTTTTTATCATCATAGTCAACAACAATTTCTTTATTTAGCTCTTTATCCTCCACCCGAGATTCTCCTCCTCCTCCTCCTTATCATCCTCCATCTCTTCCTTGTCCTCTTCCACTTCTTGCCTTTCTCATTGTCGTCGTCGTCGTCGTCGTCCTCCTCCTCCTCCTCTTTCTCCTTCGTTTTTTACAATCATAAATTCCTCACCATGATTATCAATACCAACTGTTGTCAATTTAGAGTAAATCTATTCAGAAGTATTTCAAAATAAAAAATACAGTTCCCCATCACCCCCTGTTTCCTCCATTTGAACCCCTCCCCACCTCCTTTCACTCCCCCCAAACCCTTTCTCATTTTCACCCCTCCCCTCCTCCCTTTCAACTCTTCCCTCCTATTACCTCTCCTCCCTTTAATCCCCTCCTTCCCTTCTCCTTTTACCCTCCCTACCATTCTTCCCCTCTCTTCCTTCCTCTAATTCCCACTCCTTCTTTTCATACCCTCCCTCTTTTTCAGACTACCTTGTGTGGTACACAAAAAACAAACCGGAGCCCAATAAAATGACCACGTTCTTTGACCCAACCTCTGTCATGATGTACGGTGATAATGTGAGTACACTGAAACCTACGTATTTATTTATTTATTTATTTATTTATTTATTTATTTATTTATTTATTTATTTATTCATTTGTTTTGTTTATTTGGTTTCATTTTGTTTTGTTGTGTTGGAATATTTGATCTCAACATGAGTTCCTTTATTTGACCGATTACTCAACTTTTGATGTAGCAAGGGTCATAAACAAACTGAAAAGAAAAAGAAAATAGCGGCAGCAACAAAGGTAGCAGAAACAATAACAGCAAAATGTACAACAATGCCATCACAAACAACAGTAACAACAACACGGACAACAACAACAGCACAAACAACAACAGAATCAATATGGTAACAATAATAACAACAACAACAACAATAACGACAGCGACAACGACAACAACGACAACTCCAACAACGACAGCACTCTTCGAGCCGTTCAGCAAGCGTTTCCATCGCCTGCTCCAGTTAGCAACGGTGTCCACCGCTATTTGTGCAAGACTTTCAGCGTCTCGTGCCGGGGGTGATGGGGTGAGGATAGAGACGTCGTCAGCGAAGAGTGAAATTGTGAGATCATCCCGAAGTAGTTTCGCCAGTTCGTCGATAAAAGAGGAAGAGGATGGGTGCCAGGGCGGAACACTGTGGGAGACCTTGGCTCATTTTTCTGTTCTTACTCAGTATTCCGTTGAATCGGACTCTGGTGTGACGATTTTGAAGGAAGTCATTCAGCCATAGAACGTATTTATCTGGGATACCTCTGTCTTAGAGGGTGTGGAGTAGGCGTTCTCGCCAGACTTTGTCGTATGCCTTTGAAAAATCGAGGAGGACGAGTACCGATTTTTCCTTCTTTTGGAAGCCGTCAGAAATCTTCTACGTAATTCTCAGAATCTGGTCTTGCAGCAACAACAACGACTGCGGCAACACAATCAATAACAACAAGAACAATAAGAACAGCAAATTGAACAGCGATCAACATAAGATGAGATATACAAATGTTGTTTAAAATAGATTTTCGGAATTCCTTTAAGGGCTGGTGGGACACCTACAAACCGTGTTTTTGGGGTCAAATTGTTGTTGTCTGTTTTCTATTTATGTTTTGTATTAATTTTATCAAGCAGTTGATGTATGTTAGTTTTAACTATTTTTTTCTAGTTTTTTTTCTGCAACAGCACATGTTTCCGCGTTTTCTTAGCTTTATCGGCTGTTTTCTCACAATTCTGTTTTTTCACGCATTTTTCTGCTCTGTTTCTTGTTCAATTTCAAATTAACTTTCTAAAGATACCAACAAAACCTAGTTCTAAATTTTGGCTTGTTGAATTTTTTAAATTTATTTAGTAGTTTTTGATTTATGGGCTTAGAAAGGATGAATTTTTCCTTTTCTTTCATCTTTTTTTGCACCAACCCGATAGTAAGTGTCATAAAATAAAAACTAAATCATATATGAAAAATTCAAACAACCCACATTGAAGCGCTACATATTTACTGTTGGCATGCCAAATTAGAGGTGAATTAGTTTTTAAAAAAATAAGGGAATAAATGGGATTGAAAAAAGTATACAAAATCAAATATGGCCGCCGTTTCCATAGCAACCGATTCACACTATTATACTTTTTGAACTCTTGATTTCAAATCCCCAATAACACACGATATATCACAGCACATATGGGTACTTTAGGCCTTGTAATAGTCAAAACAGACTTCAGGAGCTCCACGTATCAGCCCTTAAACATTTATTTTCCAATTGCAGTCTTTTACGATCAACGGCCTTGAGACGACTTTCCCTCTCCGAGACGATTTCTTCGACCTGGTTGGACCCGACTCTGGAGATCACGTCGTCTTCATGGAGTTGGCTAAAACTTACAAGTGCAATGGTAAGAAATGAACAGTTCCACTCCATGACGTCTTGTTGACCATGTCTCATACTACATGGGAAATCTTGTGGTGTCCAAAATCATAGTCTTTTACCCCAGATCCCCACTGTGCAAAAATATACTGATGACACACAAAGATAACACTTGTCCAAAATAACCACTTAATAAATACTTCAACAGTGAAACATGTATGAATTATTCATGTGAAAAAGATAGGAAGTCTCTGGATCTAAATTTCTGTTCATTTGAAAATGTGACACCACCAATTCTCCCTTTCCCTGTTGTCCTCAATTGTCAAAGTCAAAGAGGACAGATGGAGAGTGATTTTGGAGAACGGGAATTTAGAGGATGAAAATGATATTATTATCATATTATTATCAAATTATTATCATTTTTCTCAGCAACTTTATCAGCCGTCCAGCGAAGACACTAGAAGATCTGGGAGTGAGATATCTTCACTGTTTCATTCAACAACCTCCTCCATACCCCTCACTGCTTTTCGCTCCACCCAAACCCACCGTAAGTGAACGAACCACTTTCCATCCCCCCCCCCCCCCAAAAAGTCAGTTTACTCCACCGTAAGTGACCCACTTTCCATCCAAAATAAAAATATCTGTATGTTTTTTAATTGCCCAGATTTTTTCAATTTTTCAATTTTTACTGCTTCTCCAGAACGATATTGTGGCAACAACAAGACGGATTGTGGGCGTGGTTATTTCACGATAATCAAAGGAGTGTGTCGCTGTGTCTGTCCTGACGAACTGGACCCAGACACAAATTGTACAACTCATATCAACGCAAGTACGCCGAAATCGGACACTGTCAAGGATTAAAACGATAATTATTAAACTAGTTACATTAATTGTTTGTAATGGCAGGACAGCCCGTTGGCTTAGCTGGCATCATGCTGGACTGTGGTTTGGATAACATAATGGGACAATCTGGGATTTTGATTATTTAGAGAGCTGTCAAGGATTAATTCTTACCCGTCTGGTTTTGTCATGTCAGAGATGGAGGCTATTGTTGGAGGTCTTCACTCTTAAAAAATATTTTTTCCGTTATATAAGTGGCACTTAACATATGCCATACCATACGGAGTCGAAGGTCTCACCTCGCTAATGATATTCTCAGAGGGAAAAAAAATTATTGTCGCGAGCTGGCCGATTATTCATAGATTTTTTTGTTTCTAAAAAGACAAAATCAAATATGATAATATTACTGTGTCTCTTGGGGAGTTTGTTAATAAATGTTTAAATAGCATGTGAAAAGGGAAACTGGTTCAATAGGAGCTGAAAAAAAACGCCCCCCCAAAAACAAACGGATAGCTGAGCTATGTCACGCATTAAATGTGACGTAAAAGAAACGCGATACAAATTCTAAGATAGGGACTTTCAAACTTTGAATTTCTAATTTCTACATTTTCTTAAAATGTGACATCCGTTTCTTTTTCACTGGGGTTTCCATGTGTTTCCTGTTGTCAGGAACGTGTCCCACCGTCCACGGATTCAGCGAGCTGCTGGTTTTTTTTAAGGGGGGGGGGGTTGAGCTGTATGTATAGGGGCAGATGGTTAATCAGTGAGTATACAAATGTGTGTGTGGGGGGGTATCGAAGCAGTATGGTGTTTTTCAATGTATTATATCTTATATTAGTAATAATAATATTGTCTTGCCTAACAAATGCCTAACGAAATCTGATGTATGAGATCTTTTATCTCATCGGATCATAACTTATCGTATCTTACCTACTTTATTTTAGCGTATTTAGATACTACAATATCTTACCTGGTATTGTCTAATCTCATTTCATCTCATCGCATACCCTTCCATGTTTGCCTTTTCTTGTCTTATCTTATTCACATTCCATAGTCCTATTTTATCCAGTCTGATTCTGATCGTTTCCTGTCTAGGTTTGCTTAATTTAGTTTTGTTTCATCTTATCTATCTGATTCGGGTCTCATTCTATCTTGTATATCATATTTCATTTCATTTAATCAAATCTGGTGCGTTCCTGTCTTGTTTAATTTATTTCTGTCTGACTAAATTGGTCTTTTTGCTCCCAATCATTTCTTTACCCTTCTGGTTTCGTCCTACATTTTAGTTTGTGTTGTCTTATAATAATTATCATCTTTTTAAATTCTTATTTCTTCTTGTCTTTTACCACTTGACTTACTTTTTTGGATCGTTTTGGGGCTTATTACAGCAATCATACTCGCACATTGTTCAGGGCGCCACTCGTAGGAACTACTTGTTTTTGTTTCCCCTTTTTCTCTGTCTATCTTGTTTATCCCCCCTCCACTAAACAACTGTTTACTTTAAAAGATCGAGGGCCCCATTCGCTCAGTTAGTATCATGCTGGACCACAGAGCTGCGGCCCAAGTTCTCAACAGGGTTTGAACTCAAGTTGTTTTAATTATTTTTCAAGGCTCTCTACCCAATAAGTTCGTCTTTTCAGAGAACGACGTTAAATTCGGAGGCTTCATCTAAAAAAATAACTACATGGACTAAACTTTGTTGAAAGGTTAAACCTGTACACTTTAAAAAATCAAAATGATCCGTTTGCTCGAGTCAGGCAACAAGTACGTGGACTGGCCAAAGACTCCTTTCACACTTCTGACCGGCTCCCAGTGCCCTGCCGGATTTCACGAAGGAAATATCCGACTCCGAGGCCTGGGTGGACATATACAGGCAGAGGTCGCCGACCCCTTTCCTCTGGATGACCCCTACCTCACCCTGCGGACTTGCTCCAAGATGACCCCTGATGACCACGCGGACATTCACTGGTTGAGCTGGCCTGTGGGTGGGCAGTACTGCTTTATCAAGCCGAAGGACATCCCTTGTGACGGAGGTAGGCGTGCGTGTGTATATCACACATAATATACACACACGCACACCACTGCTGGCCGCCACTTCGCTACCTCAGAATTACAAAGTTGTATCTCAGATGTTAGCCGTTTTGAGTTACTAACTAAGACCTTGAGATCAAAAACCAAATGTTTTATCTGTTCTATCAAAACCGTAAGACTATTCCTAGTTGTTCTCAAGATATTCAAAGAATTGAATTCGAAAAACCTTGGCAAGTTGTGAAACTCATATTCTTTGACGTCACATTTCTCAAAACTAGGTACTGAGCAGATAGATATTTGTAATTCTAAGGTAGTGACATTGCAGCGGTCTGCTTTTTGACTTACAGCTATTATATGTTGGTCGAGGACACACGCCAAGGACCATCAACCTAAACGTGCTAATGGTTAGAGGGTGTTATTAGTATTTCCTACTTCTTTACTTCCCCTCTCTTGATTCTGTCCGTCTGTTTTACTTTTCCCTAGCACTAAATTAAAGACCATTATTGGGTCGATTTGCTTCTCTTTACTCAAACCAAACAATCAAACACTGTGTCACTGACACACGCTTGGCATTATCATAAGACTGAATTCACTAACCATTAAGCCACTGGAGCTCCCCACAACTGCTTTAGAGATTTGTGCTTGCTCTTGTTCGTGCAATGTTGAACCTAATTTATTAAAGATGAGGAGGTGGAGGTGGTAAGCTCTTACAAATATCTTGGAATAACAATTGATAACAAGCTTGACTGGCACCCCCATGTTGCCCCTGTGCATAAATGAGTAAATCAAAGAAAGTTCCTTTTAAGGAAATTAAGAAGTTTTCGTGTCGATAATAAGACTATGTCCCTTTTGTACCATTCTATGATTGAAAGCGTGCTCTTATTTTATATTTGCTGCTGGGCAGGGAATTGTAGGGTGAAAAAAAAATTGACAGAACCATTAAGAAAGCCAACAAGATATCTGGATATTATTTTACTAGTTTCTACAATCAGATTAAAGCTGTCGCCTCCTAAAATGACCTAAATTTTGTTCGATTGAAACATTACATTTTTAAAAATTTAAGAACTACGCCTATACCTTTTATCAGTTTAAAAAATAACAAATCTGAATTTTGTCGATGGACGCATAACACATTTACAACTGATGCGTTCTGACATACTTTTCCAGTGTTCAAGAAAGGTTACTTTGTCCTGAACGGCGTGTATCAGGTCTCAGGCAACGTTGGTGACGTGTCAAACCGGAGCAGTGACGTCACGATTAACTTTTGCTGCACGAAAAAAGACCGGGTGGACAGAAGCATAGATCTCCCAAACGATGCGCCCTTCAAATTGCTAAGTGCTAAACAGTGCCCGGTTGTTAACGGTGAGTTGGTGGTGTGTATTTACGTGTGTGTGGTGGAGTGTATGCATGTGTTAGTGTGGTTAAGTTTATATGCTTGAACTTGAATGTGCGTAGAGTTTGCATGCTTGTGAATTTTCCTGCTTATGTTTGTATGTTGGAGTATGATGTATATGTGCGTGTACATACATGTGTTTGGGAAATGGTGTGTTTGTGTGTGTGTGTGTGTGTGTGTGTGTGTGTGTGTGTGTGTGTGTGTGTGTGTGTGTGTGTGTTTACGTGCGCGTGCGCGCGTTTATGTGAGAGTAGGTGCGTATTTGTATTAATCTTGAGGGTCTTTGCTCGCATTGTAATATGCAAATTATATCACTCGTTGAACGTGTCTATCCAAAATGCATAGTACGGTGTCAGGAATGGTAGACCAGCTATCAAAACGATCTCTCCAATGAGTGCAAGAACAATGCCGAAAGCAGAGACACCCAATCTCCATCGCCTTCACAGACCTGACAAAATCCGGAAGAGTATTTTCAAACTTCCTCAACGGATTAGCTGACCCCCACCCCCACCCCCTTTCCAAAGATCCCGAGGAAGATCCAGTCTTTCCATGAAGGAAATTACTGCCAGAAAGTTGGCCCATCCTTGGACTTTTACCCAATAAAGAGAGGAGCAAAACAAGGCCGTGACCTTGCCCCGATACCCTTTGGCATCTTCCCCCATGCTATCAGTGTCAATATCACGACGCAGTGGAACCATGTGCTCGTTAATAATTTGAGCACGTGGAGTTATTGTTATCATCTGAAAGCTTAGTTATTTGCCTTGCTTTCCAAGAAAAGAATACCCATCTATCTAGAATAGAAGTCGAGATATTTGAGATTAAAGGAGGCAAATTTAGCGTGAAAATGGCCTCCAAAGTTCGGTTACTTCAGTAGCATGAGATTACCGGAAAACTGAAAATTTGCGTGTTCTGTGCCTACAATCAACGTTTTTCAGTAAAATTCACATGGAAACATGTTTTGATAAGGACAAAAATTCGAAAACATTGACAAACTGCCAGTTTCTTCGATTTTATTAGTTTGACGAGGGCCTGATTTCGCCATGATGCGTCATAATATTGAGTCACAAAACTGTGTGTACCTTCACTCCAGCAGCGACGGACAACGGTTCAACCTTGCGTGCCCAGGAGCGAAGACCTAAGTGCAGTATGTAGTTATCAGGGCGTTGCTATTTGCGTTTTGACCGCTCATAGGGAAGAGACCCTTAAGAGACTAATCAGCTGCTTTGAACGCTCTGACATAAACTTTAGTCTGATCATCAGCATAAAAGAATAACTTCACGGGGAAGGATGTCAGCAGCACATTAATCAATACAATTGGCGACTAAACTTTCGAGGGGGTATCATAATTCACCTATTTCGTCTCCCCCATTTCCATACCCCCCCCCCCCTCTCTCTCTCTCTCTCTCTCTCTCTCTCTCTCTCTCTCTCTCTCTCTCTCTCTCTCTCTCTCCCTCACTTTCTCTCTGGACGCTGATCTGAGTAGGAGAAGAGGCAAAGCATCAACAGCATTGGTTGAACTCCGTCCTGACTGCCAACACAAAGATTAAAATGGCGTAGCTAGCCTACCTGCTCGGTACATTGATAGCAACAACGAAGCACGGACTCTATACGCTTGGCAGAAGCGAAAACTGAAAACATTTATTCAGCTGCGCTGCATTAAAAAATTAACTTCATAGACATCATATGGCAGTACCGCATCCCGAACAAGACCGTCTTGAGAGAGATGGGCATTCATTTTAAGTACGTTAGCCCTTTTTGATCTGTGGGGCCTTCGCTGGCTGTAATATGAGTGGAAGAGAAGATAGGTGCATTCTTAAGGACACACTATTATTCTGGTGAACTACTCTAGCTCTCATACGGCTTAGGGCCTTCCCGTGCTTCAAAGATGTCTGTAAACATAATTAGAGGGCAGACGGCATCGAACCAACAAGCGTCGAGCCCCTCCTTGCTGCTGGAGACAGGGTGTCAAGTGTCAAAGCAAGAGTTTGGAGGAGAGAAGGGGTGAGTGGGTAGCTGTTGATGGAGAAGAGAGGGCGCGACGGCAGAGGACAAAATCAGCACTAAAGGGGTCTGGTGTGGAATCAATACTCTCTTCTCATTTTCTTTCTACAGACATTGAAACAGGACGGTCTGGGGGTTGCTAAATGAAGGAAGAAATTATTGATGATAAAGACATAAAAAAAATCTCAAGCATGATATTGCTGCCGTCGTTTACCTCCCATTCGACTTAGAAGGGAAAGCGAGCTGAAAGTGGAAAGGGGGTGGGGATGGGGGTCAGACATCATGTTGTGCTTTGATATACATACCGGCTAAACTGATTTGGATATCTAATGATGAAGATAAATTGGACTTGATAATTACTGCCCCTCCTCTCGAGAAAAATGGCAAAAGCCTAAAGAAACGAAGGCACGCATAAACAAAACAAAATAAAAAATTCAACCGAAAAAACCCAACCCTCCCCAACCTACAAATACTGAAAAAATGAAGAAAAAAAAGGTCTTTCCCCCGAACCTCCTCCCCCTCTTTGAGCACTAGAATTTGAGAGGTCTTCCTAACTACTACGGCGACTCTTTCCTCCATGCAGGCATGCGAGGCACCCACGAAAACGACGGGCTCGTCATTTACTTCACGAACCGACGTCCAGTGGTGAGGGGAGAGGCGCCACTTCACTACCTCTGGGACCAAGAGATCCATTTCTTCCAGTGTGACTACCTCCCTCCGGTTTACGGTACATTTTTTTTGTTTCAGGATTTTTGTTTGTTTGTTTTCATCGTATTCCAAGTGTGCTTTTGACTAATTTTTCAATCCCCTTGTCATATCATGATTATTATCATGAAAAGAAACGTCATACTACATACATGCGGCACACGCACGCGCGCGCGCATACACACATGCACACGCACACACGCATACACACAGAGAAACACACACAGACAAACACCCGCATATATGTATGTGTGTATATATAAATATAT